AGTCCCCGAGCGACTTCTCCTGCCAAAGCTACGAGCTGTTCGTGAACCAGGAACGTGGCAACCAGGACGACAATACGCGCGAGCGCATGTCCCTCCGTAGCGACCCCTTCCAGGACTCGGTGAGCACTCAGCCCGCGCACAAGCCCGCCGACACGCACCACGAGCCCGCGCGCCGCCAGAGGAAGGTCAGCATGGTGAGTATGCCCACACACCCGCTGCAGTATGCCCGAATATGATTCAAGTCTACTCTGGAATTCAATCAATTCTTAAATTCTTCTGAAACTAAACATTAATCTCGAGTAATATGAAGGCATATCAATTGGTGACAAACTTTTGATATCTCATGGAATATTCCGTATATCAATTCTGATGAACACGTTGGTAATTTTCATGCAATCAATATGAATGTAAAATTACGTTATGCAATACGCAAACGTATTTAACGTGATCACGTTTTATCACTACTATAAAAGTTCAAGTAAAAAAAAATCACCATAAAATATATTTATGATATTAGTATTTGGAGTATCCTAACTTTCAAAGTAAAAATTCTATAATTGATATTCAAATTAAAATTGAATCATTGACGGCTAAGCATTATCTTTTCAACTTTAAAGTGCATTGAGAATTAAAAACAACATGTCATATCAAAAATTTCAAATTGTTTAAAGGTAAATTCTGATTCAAGTTGAAAAGAAAGTGGCTGGGAGCTTTAGAATCTTTAATGTGTTTCCACTACTTTGAGTTTCGAATTTCACTTAAAGATTGCATGTTTATTGAATTTAGAGTTACTGAAGGATTTAAATTATTTTTACTGATTTTTATTTTTTCCGGAGAACGTTTTATTTGCATGGAATTGCAAAAATGTCTCACTATCATTTCAACATTAAATTAGTCGCAGCTTTGTGGCGTGCATAGATTTAGTTCTGTTAATGTCATTTATACTCATTGATCAATCTTTCTCTCATCTATTATTTGTTATGTTCAAGTTACAGAGCCTGTTGCGTTTACATTCAGTTCTTTTTAAACATGTCGCATAATCATTTACTAAATGTCAACTTCATTCATACGAAATAGTGTAGAATTATTCACATCGTCAACTTCCTTTTACTTTTTGCAAATGATTGAAATAATTAGTGTAGCATGACTTTGCCTTCCTTACGTTTCTTTGGTATGATAAGTTTTATTGCGTAGTTTTCACTCTCAATTCTTCGTACCTCGGGCTCCAATAGTATTTTTATCAGGCCATGAACAGATGTTACAAAACATTGTCCAAATATTTTTTTTTATTGAATAAATGCAAAGATGAATTCAATGACGAAATACTATTGGAGATATTGAGTCTATTGTCATGTTAGATTGTTTCTTTGGCAATGTGATCGTCCACGAACGGGCCGAGCTGAACCTGAACATAGCAACGATGAAGAGGTAGGTTCGGTCAACATAATTAATCTAATTTAGCAATCGATAAAAAACAATAATTCATTCCTCAATTTCGATGAGTGATGCGGAGGCTTCGAAATTTAAATTATAAAAAAGAACAGTCGTCATGACCATAGATGTAGAACAAGGAAGTTCGTTTTGTTATGATAAAAGTTAGCAGTATATTTGCATGTAGTTTGACACTATTACTTCATGTGTTTATAAACAAAGTTACCTGACTAACCGTCGCTTTCATTCATTGGCATCGCTTGATCGTATCGGTATTTTATTGTTGCTATTTACAATAAGAGTTTTACGGTGATATTACAGCATTAGCGAATCCAAAGAAATTCTTATTGTAATCAAAAATTAACATTTTCTGCCGTTTAATTAGATCTTACATAGATTGATGGGGCTGCTAAATGATCTGTCATTTATCACAATTTGCTTTGAAGCTGCAATATCACTTCCTCCTCCTTGATGTCTTGATGTGCTCTGAATACTTTTTCCTAATTTATCGATGTCTTTTTTATCAGTATGTGATACTAGAAAAGATATTACTATAAAATCAATTTTTTGTGTATTGAAGGTTCCCCACCCTGAACGCATAAATAAATACGGGCAGTTATATGGGCCACTGCGGGAGGGCTCACAGGTTTGTCCAATAATCCAAATTGGTGTTTGTGTACCCCCTTCCTATTCCTCTTCAATAGGAAACGTTTGTTTGTTTTTCTTTCTACCTTAGTCTTCTTATTCTAACCGTTTTGAAATTAAGTTGATTATTTCTCAGAGTCCAGTTGCAGCAATACATGGATCTTAAGAAACTTAGAGAGCAAAATTGCCATAGCTAACATTTTGATTAACGCTACCATCGTGCATTGATGCAATAAGACATTACTTCTTATCATTTTCTGAAAACACATCTATTTTCTCGTTAACCTCTTTATTATTTTTCCTTTGTTTATTAGCACATGAAAGTATAACACAATTCTTTAGAGATTCGATATTAACGACTTTCATTAAGTGTAGGTAAAGCCTCTGCAACCTAGACCCTTTGATCAGTACGTGAACCATTTCATTCATACTCGATCTTAATTGAGGAACCATAGTATTTTGAGAGTAACAGTAATCGCAATAAACAGATCGAAGATATAATTCTGTGAATGGAAATTGTTACTTAAAGTTGTTTTCGTAGAATACTTTATAACTATATTGTGAATCGACAGGCATCATTATCACTGCCGGGATCGCCGTTCAATTTGCGCCGTGGTTCACGTGGCTCGCATCAGATGGCGTTGCGGCCGAACGGCAGAGCTCGCTACCCTCCTGGTGCAGATAGGAAGCCCCTCGTGTTGTCAACTTATCTTGATGCCCAGGAACATCTACCGTATGCTGACGACTCGAACGCTGTCACTCCGATGTCTGAGGAAAATGGAGCTATCATTATACCAGTTTATTATGCCAATTTAGGTGAGCTGTTTGATTAACTACCTTCAATTTTGTATTACGATTTGTGTCACTAAACATTTCTGTAATATTTTGATTTGTAAATGGTGAATAAGATAGCATCTTCTAGTGAGCAATTATATCGCTTAATATAACCGTTTTATACTTGATATTTCCAGGATCACGGCATTCGTCGTATACATCACATCAGTCAAGATTATCTTACACATCTCACGGTGACCTGCTGGGTGGCAAAGCGCAGACGAAAGAGGCACGACTCCGAGGTCGCTCGGCGTCCAGAAATCACAGCGTTACATCGCAGCCTCATGCCTATGCTTTGCCAAGACCAGACTCATCAATTGCATCAAGACCTGTCAGAGAATATGTTAGTATAAGTAAAAATATATTTTCATGTAGAACAATATACAATAAATATTTAATCAAATTAATAGACTCTAGCTGTTGCTCGCTACTACTACGTGGAATTAAATAATATAACCTGATACTTAGTGATAACGTAGCTTTTAAATGGTGAGAGAATTTTTGAAATGGGCTTTGCTTTTGGGTTATTTCAACACATACAAAAATACAAATCTGTACTCTTTATAATATTAGTATTGATGTTTGTCGTATTTGTACATATTGTGGTCAAAAGGTATAAATATTGGTTAATAAAACAGCCAAAGAATGTAATTATTAACACTTCCAGGAAATGAGTACCACAGAAAGCACTGACGAAGCTGGAAAAGTTTTAAAACCATCAAATGACAATCCTTTCATTGAATCATCACAACAGCCGAATGTAGTTGATATGAGAGGTAAGGTGTAAATTTCTGCTCACTTATAACTAACCTACTTAATCTAGTTATACTATTATAATAAAGCGTTACACACGCTTCTTTGTTGCCTAAGATGTCAGCAATTATAGCATATTTTTGAATAATTCTTTTTTTAATCAAAAGCCCTACAATTACGTCACGCTTTAGGCTATATATTTTAACACCATTAAACTTAAGGGGTAAATATTTTGGATAAAAATCCTAATTTGGGAAAGAGACCATAAGTTGCTGCCAACATCAAGGAAGCAAGGTTGTCATGTTTGACATTATGTCATGTCATTTTGACATTGGCATTTGATAATTTGACAAATGTGAACAACAAAATGAGGTTTTTATAATTTTATGCGGATAAAGTTGCACGGGTACTGCTAGTAGTTATTAACAAAACGTTATCTATATAGCTATCCTATTTTTGTCTTTGAAAAAATGAACACACGATTCCTATGTTACTTTTCACATCATTTACTTCATCGTGTGAAAAGAGTACCGCTGAAGGTTTTTCATACTTGGAGACAATATTTTTCTCCTGCTTATTTCTATTCTAATTGACTTTTGCATACATTTGTATTAATAATTAATTTATAAATTTTTCATTTTCAGATGTAATGGTATTAAACGAAATCATAGAACAGGCTGGTCGACAGAGTAGAGCGAGCGAGCAGAACGGTACGCCATTTACAAAAATCAATCATTTCGGTGTTCTTAATGTGGATATCCGCTGTCAAAACAAAAGTATAAAAACATAACGTCATCTCTTTCGTTCCCTTTGTAAAAATAGAGACAGCAATATGTTATAATACGATTGTTTTAACAGTGGAATTAGACATATCTATACTTCAATTGTTCAATGTTGTCTTGTTATACGCCTTCATGTTTGACTGTTATCTTTTTGGATGTTTCAGCAATGTGTGTTTGCTTTCTTAAACTAAATATCTGTTATGTCTTTTCTATTTTATGATCATTATAACGCAATTAATACTGTCACTACACACACTCAACATACATGAATAGGTATTTGCTCATTATGCGAAAAATGGCATAATTGGCAATTTAAGTCACACTTAGGTGTCATTTATTATTGTGTTATAAGTATTTTTAGCACCTGCACTGTGTAAAATATACACCATTTTGTTGTATATACCTCTCCTTTTACAAGTTTAAAACCTCAGTATAAATTTAATTATTTTTTTAATTGTTTTTAAGAATTCGTGTGACATAAACTGGTCATATTTAATAACAAACCACGCTTGAAATATACACATGTAAATAATTTTCCTGTGACGAATTTTACAGTTAATAGTGAACTTTTTAAACTCACCTCTATCAGGTAACTTTAACTTGTGATATGCTAAACTATACTAAAGTAAAATTGAAGTTGACACCGTAAAACCAAACATTTTCCAATTTCAACAAAACATTAACAATAAAATGCTATCTTTATGTGTCCTTTTAATAGTAATTTTGTCAATTTTGTTAAATTTTCTAAATCTTTTTTTCAGTTTCGTAATGTAGTTCATTTCTTTTTCCATTCGACGTTGCTTATTTTAAAGTGTTCATTAAAACAGCTGTTATAAAATCGTAATTGAGACAATATGTAATCTTAAAATTACGAGTAGAGTTTTTTTTTACCTTTTTTATAGTACATCAAGTAGCACGAACGTGTGTTTATTAATGCATACTTAATTGTTGTTTTGTCCTATGCATTTCAATTATTATCACTCATAGTTTTTGCATGACCGTTTTACCTGTGATTATTGTTTTGCACTTCTAATGATTTTTTGAAGTCTTTATTTATAAAATGTATTTCTTAAGATTCTATAGATTGCTAGTTAAGTACCCTTTCATCACGTGTTTTCACGATATTCATATTTTTGGCTCGTTATATCTAAATTATAACACGTAAATATCATTTGATTGAAGCGTAAATAGATTAAACGTAGAAGCTTTGTTGAAACTAAACACAAAGTAAAAAAAATAATATGTAAAAAAGTAATTTCCGTTAACCTAGTGTGCACTGTTGCCATCCAGCACATATTCAGTAATTTTGAGTTTAGTATAAATTCAATATTAACGTATTTTGAAATGTGAAATACGAAAACGGTAAAACTGATAAATGACAGCCTACTGTGCAACAAAAATATGAATATTGGTTCCTTTTATATTTCTTACACTATTGTCACCGGGGTAGTTTACACGGCCTTTATGTGTACATCCCGGTGTAATAGTTGAAAAAGAATAATGAGCGAATACTAACAAATTTATTTCTGTCTCCCCCTACACACACACCTACGGTAAACGGGACGCAACAGTGTCAGTATACTACTTCCCAACAGCAGAAGACGATG